TTTATCCATTCTCTAGACTACTATTTTTTTTTTTTTTTAAAGGACAACCTCCCAAACCAGAACAGGTTCAGAGACTCCATTTCTGTAGATTACTCTCAGCCTCCTTCCCCTGCCAGCCAGCTGAGACCTGGATCATTGACATCTGGGCAAGTAGAGGGAAAGTTGGAGAGAAGAACAAAAGGGGTGTGTAGACCCACCAACTGGATCCAAGGCCCCCCACGGTCAGGGAGAAAAGCTTGGGGTTGTGGCTTAAGCACTGGAAAGCGCAGGGCTCTGTATTTTCTCTTTCTCTCAGGAGCAGAGGGAGCATGAATGCTGCTGGCGCCCGCTGCATGAGTAGTCATTGAATCTTGAGAAGCAGTGTCATCTGCTCTGGCTTCTCTGCCTTCTCTCCCCAGACTTCCTGCCCCTTCTAGCTCTGGGAGCTTCCAGGACCTTTAGGAATAGCATATCATTTCCTTGAGTGGGGGCTTCAGTGGGGTGAACAATCTGGGAACCTAGTGAGGAGTCCTCAGGGAATGGGTTTCAGCCCCTCATGCCCCGGACTGGTCTTACACAGTCCCTCAGATCTTTGAAACAAAAGCCTGGAGTTTCTTGATGTGATTTACAGGATATGGGCCTTGACTGTTGCTTCTCCAAGTCATCAGCAAATTAGTCCTCGCTCTACTTAATGGGGTTAGTGGTGGTCTGTCAGTGTGGCTGATGAGGACAGACAGGAGGAGAAGTGGTTTTCAAGACCTCAGGGTCTGGAAAGGGAATTCAGAAATTTCTGAATGAGCTTTCTTGGTCCAAGCCCCCTTCTTCCTCAGAAAAACTCTCTGCTCTGAAATGCGTTGCCACTTTCGAGTGCCTCCCATCTTCAGATTAGCCACTTTCTCCCCAGCAAACCTGATGACACATTTTCTTAAAATGTTTCGTGTTCCTCACCAAGTTTCATCATTGGTGGTCTCTAACACTTTCTGATGTGCTAAGGTGGTAGTGTTACTGTCATAGTCCTCTTCTTGCCTGGCTGACCGTGGCCTTAGGCACATCTGAGGTCTGTCGGCACTGCGACTCCTTCACACTCAGGTTCCTCCCTGCCCCGGGCAGATGACATGAAGCAGACAGCTCTGGTCCACAAGGTGGAAAAGCAAGTGCCCAGCCTCTTGGAAACAGACCATAAACAAATCTGTCAGGTAGTGAAAAGAGAAGAATAAAGCCAGGGTGCAGGACCCAGGGATGGGGATGAGGAAGGGGCACTTCCGCCACCAGCGGAGAATTGTGTCTTCCGGTCTGTGGGACACCTTCTGGGAAAGACTGGATGGAAGAAATGACCCGGTCTTTTGCACATTGTCTGACTAAAAGTAGCCATGTATAGATTTTTCTTTTGATGTTCCCGTGAAATAAAAGCCTCCACTATTGAACTGTTTTATATTTAAAATGATATTCTGCACCTTTTTTTAAACTTTGTTTTATTTTTTTAATTGAGAGGGTGTCTCACTATGTTGCCCAGGCTGGTCTTGACTCCTGGGCTGAAGTGATCCGCCCGCCTTGGCCTCCCAAAGTGCTGGGATTATAGGTGTGAGCCACCTCACCTGGCCAGTCTGCACTATTTTAGAAGAAAAGAGCTAGTGTTCAGAATCATAAGCACTTTTTATTAATTTCTACCATTTGTTTGTATATTTATATTGTTTAAATCACCTTTTTCTAGAAATTATCTTGTTGCCCTCAGTTGTTTTTATTTACATCCTCTAGACCTCTGGGATCCTGCAGGTGGCTGTTTGCCTCATACACGCCCCTCTTAATTTGCACTAGACATGTAATTGACTACTTGAGTACACTGTCCATTTTGGGATTTATCCATTCTCTAGACTACTATTTTTTTTTTTTTTTAAAGGACAACCTCCCAAACCAGAACAGGTTCAGAGACTCCATTTCTGTAGATTACTCTCAGCCTCCTTCCCCTGCCAGCCAGCTGAGACCTGGATCATTGACATCTGGGCAAGTAGAGGGAAAGTTGGAGAGAAGAACAAAAGGGGTGTGTAGACCCACCAACTGGATCCAAGGCCCCCCACGGTCAGGGAGAAAAGCTTGGGGTTGTGGCTTAAGCACTGGAAAGCGCAGGGCTCTGTATTTTCTCTTTCTCTCAGGAGCAGAGGGAGCATGAATGCTGCTGGCGCCCGCTGCATGAGTAGTCATTGAATCTTGAGAAGCAGTGTCATCTGCTCTGGCTTCTCTGCCTTCTCTCCCCAGACTTCCTGCCCCTTCTAGCTCTGGGAGCTTCCAGGACCTTTAGGAATAGCATATCATTTCCTTGAGTGGGGGCTTCAGTGGGGTGAACAATCTGGGAACCTAGTGAGGAGTCCTCAGGGAATGGGTTTCAGCCCCTCATGCCCCGGACTGGTCTTACACAGTCCCTCAGATCTTTGAAACAAAAGCCTGGAGTTTCTTGATGTGATTTACAGGATATGGGCCTTGACTGTTGCTTCTCCAAGTCATCAGCAAATTAGTCCTCGCTCTACTTAATGGGGTTAGTGGTGGTCTGTCAGTGTGGCTGATGAGGACAGACAGGAGGAGAAGTGGTTTTCAAGACCTCAGGGTCTGGAAAGGGAATTCAGAAATTTCTGAATGAGCTTTCTTGGTCCAAGCCCCCTTCTTCCTTCAGCTCTACCCTCTGTCTCCTGATTACAGTCTTTAGAAAAATGACCTGGCTTGGTTTCTGTAGCAAGAGCCTTTCCATTCCTATCGATCTCAAGCTGGTTTAAAGAAAATGTTCCTTTATTTTTTTCAAAATAGCTCCCTTTAATCTCTCTCCTCCTCCTTATGCTGAACGTCTCCTTTCAGAACCTGAGCTGGCTGGAGGAGAAAGAGAAGGAAGTGGTCAGTGCCCTGCGCTACTTTAAGACCATTGTGGACAAAATGGCAATTGATAAGAAGGTACTGGAGATGCTTCCAGGGTCAGCCAGCAAGGTGCTGGAGGCCATCTTACCCCTCGTGCAGAACGATCCTCGAATTCAGCACAGGTGAGTGGCTCTGAAGTCCTTGGCTGTGTCAGAACAATGGAAGCCTTAGAGGCATCTTGGTTTGGTGGCACTGGAAACTCAAGGTTCCTAGGAACAATCAGGAAAAGGACTCCATCACCCCTCATCCTTCCCCTGACCCATCCCTCCACCACTGTCCCTTGATGCCATCTCAGAGTTGAGGTCACTATTACTCCTGAAGCCTGGGACACATCTCTGCCATCCCTAGGGATGTGGCCACAGTGTAAGTTTGTGGTCATTTCTTTGCCTTAGCTCATGGGCAGTAGTCACATTGGTTTGGATACATTTCTCCTGAAGCCCTCAGTCACCTAACATGTCCACTCAGTCCTATCAGTGTCCAGCTGCTTAGTTGATTAGGCCAAAAGAGGCAGGTAGGGAAGCCCCTGTTAGAGCGTGGGCCACGCAGCGCTTAACTGGGTCAAGCCAGGACACTTCCCAGACTTGGAGCCTGGATTCACTGCGGGTGGGGGGAGCCTGTTTTGAATGAAACTTTTTGAGTTTCATTATCTGTCAGCTGGAAGCTACTGTTTCCAGTCATCACCCGAGGCCCGGACTGAAGAGCACCAGCAGGGCCTCTACCTGCATGAGGCTCTTCGCAGGCTTCACTGTCAGGGGCTGGACTGCAGGCTCACAAGCTAAGAGTTTTCTAGTACCTTAGACCTTGGGGGTTACACAGCAGCCTGGAGGCTGCACGGGGAGGCGAAGAAGCACAAGCTGGGAGAGAGAGAAGGGACCCTGTGGACCAGTGCTGTTACTGGGGTTATTGGGTCCGGGGCGGGCCTTATCCAAACAGGCCTCCTGCAGTGACCTTTAATTGGTGGGTTTAAAGCAAGCAGGCATGCGTTCAGGAGGCGCAGCCTGTGACTAAGAGGTGGTTACTTTAAGTTCTCAGGCAAATGGTCTGTTTAAAGGAGCAGTAGGTAAGCCAGGAGCCAGCCTGCTGGCGGGCAGAGATGCCTGTAAGTTTCTGTCTGGCCACCGGCTAGAGCCAGTCAGGTGGGATGTAGTATTAGGAACCTTGTCAAGGGTTCGTTTGCCCTACTTCTGGTATGAGAAAGCTAAACATATTTTAAAACAGATGCTGAGGCAACGTAAAATTACAAGCACTCCGTGCAGGGGACACGGAGCCAGCCTTTGCCCCAGGAAGCTTTTGTTGGGTAATACTTTCATTGCTGGAGTGCATTTTCCTCTTACAGGTTAGTTAGCAGCTTGTCCTGTATTTATTGTTAAATGTGAAAAGAAAAGCAGTACCAAATGTAATCTGAAATGAAAGCCCAGCAGGAGCTTTTTCTTAAGAGGCTGGCGCATTTTTTGTTTTTCTTCCATGGTACCTGTTCAGGATAAATGCTTCTCTGTCACAGTTCCCCAAGATGGCTTAGTGTTCATTTAGCCCCGTGAGGCTAAGCTTTTATGAACTGCTTTCAGAACTTGGCAATGAAGTTCATAGTTTTCGTCTTCTGGGGGATAAAGCAAATAGTGTCTTTATTTACAAGAAACTCCCTGCCCTGGGGCTTCCACCCTGGACTTTGAACTGACCCGTGGAGATTGTGGTCTTCTGGCCAGAAGCTCGCTGGCACTGGTTGGTGACGGGGAGGAAGCAGGACATGCTTGTCTTCACTCTGTCTTTCCCAGAGTCAATCCAGCTTCAGCTCGTAGAAGGGTTCGGTGCTGGGCTCCGGGAAGTGAATGGCGACATCATGCCACAGTCAGATGTATGGATGCCCTTTTAGAACATGTTCTTGTGGACCTAGTCTCATGTGGTAGTCTCTGCCTTGGAAGAGTTAAAGCCTAGTTGAAACAAATCAGCTCCCTCGGTTCTATGATACAGCCCTTGTTTTATGGTACAGAGAGGAAGCTCTGTTGGAGTTTGAAGAAAGGAGAGCTACACGGGTGTTGGACTTGATCTGATGAAACCTCAACTGGGTAGTTCTCGGAGCCCGACCTGAGGGAAAGCAGCAGTTGGATTAGCAGTGGGGGCAGGAGAACAAGAGCAAAGGAACTGAGGCCACTGGGCCTGGTGTGCCCCAGGGAGGGGAGGGCAGCGACTCGGGCAGTCATGGGCAGGGGGTATCCGTCCTAGGGCGTGGACGAGAGGGGAACAGTGGGAAGAGGGGAGTGATCACTTCACCCTGCGCCCTCAGGCGCTAAGCCTCTTTGGGAGAGTCTGGGATAGTGTCCCCTGGACCCTGACACCCAGAGTGTGGTGCTGCTAGGAGTCTTGCTTCCTGGATCCAGGGCGCTGCTTGGAGGTCACTTGCATACTCTGGGTAAGAATCGATCAAGTCACATGGTAATGGCTGGGGGTATTTTGTGTCTGTTGAGGGGTGGCTCTGAATTGACCTTGAATGTCTATAACCATTTCTTAGAGGAGAAAATGGGAAGTGCCTGGGTGTGGCTGTAAGGACCCATGAAATACGGTTTGTTTTCTGGTAGTCCTCTGACTAATCCCATTGAAGGGGTTTTCCTTCTGAAATTCTTCCAGGCTAGTGGAGGTGGTTTTTTGGTCTCCCGCAGTGATTGGAAATACCTCCTCAGATGCTCCTTTTAGATGCTTTGCATTATCTCTTTCCTCCCTAAGGGCAGTTTGCGAGCTGGAAGGTCCTTTCCCGTTTCTTCTGTGAGGCGGGTCCTCGCAAGCAGGCCCTTTGCCGCCCTCACCTCAGTTCCTGGGACGGTAATAAGCTGGCCTCCAACAAGCAGCTGGCTCTTAGCATGAGCTGTGAATGGAGGATTCCCGAGTGAGGCACCCGGAGGCCCATGTGAGAGCAACAGTTACACTCGTCACACGCGGAGGGCTTTGCTCCATGGTGGAAATGAGCCAGCAGCTGGGCCTCAGATGGCATTTTTATAGTCCTCAACTCTCCTTCCTTTCTTATGTCTTAGCCCCTTGACACAGGAATCTTCTGCTTCCAAGCTAATGACAGGAAGGCTGGACATTTCCAGCACCTTCAGGGAAACGTTAGCATCCAATGCAGGCAGAAAGGAAGTAGTGAATAAAAGTGTTTCCCCTCTTTCACCTCACTGTTACCAGCAACAGTGAAGCCTCACAGTAACAGTGAGATGCTTTCTCTGGTGGAATCCTCCTGCAGCACCTCGGGAAGGCCGCAGGCTTCTGTTAAGAGGCCTCACCTGGCCTTGCCAGGAAGCAGAGCGAGGTCCAGCCCAGCCGTTAGAAGCACATTCCCCTGCAGGATGAGATCAGCTCTGGTCCAAAACCCCAGGAGAGACTGCAGGGTCTTTGTTTTCCCCTCTCCATCCTCTTTCCTAAGAGAGTAGTTCCAACAACAAATACTTTCCATCCATATCATCTTCTAAAGTAGCCCAATCCTGGCTTTCTCGGGGCTCCTTTGGGAATTTTGTTTGTTTGTTTGTAATAGACTTGATAAGTTTGCTTTCATTCTTTTCAAAAGAAAGAGAAAGTTTGCTTTCGACCCTTTTCTTCTGTTGGAACATGCAGAGTGGAACGGGCTAAATGGAAACTTTAGATCCCTTGCAATAATTGTTTCCTCCTTACCTGATTCTGAAGAGCTTCTCATTAAAGCACTATTTGGTTCACATTTTTGTTTTAAATGGCTTTGGTTTTAGAACCTGTTTAAATCATATCTTACAATATTATATATTTTCCTCAAAGTTACATCTTTGGCTCCTAAATGTCTGCATCATTTTGGTGGTGGTGGTTGTTGTTTTTTTTTTTTTTGGACTAGAGGTTTCAGCACATAAATTTTCTATATTGTTGCTCTTCCTCTGTTACAATTGTTTGAAATGGAAAAATAATTCTACAATTCCTAGGGAAATTAGTTATTTAAAAATACGTGAAAGATGTAAACACCTCCATTCGGCTGCTACTCTACAATCACCGAGGCACTCAGGGCTTCTGTTCCTGGGCGCTGGCATCGCAGTATAACTGGTAGCGTGGTGCGACACACACAGACACACACACACACACACACTCACCTACATTCCCACCTTCACATCCCCACCACCATCTCACAGGCCCCCTCGCCCCTGATTTACTATTCTCAAAATAGTCTTCATTCATGCGCTTCTGACATCTGTCTCATGGTTATGGTGCAGAGGATGATGAAGCTGGCCCCCTGACGGAGGAGTTCTAATAAACCGCAGACCTGTTTTGAGCTCATGACTGTTAAAATCCCGCAAACCTGTCGGCTCTTTGTGGCCCATCCAAAATAGATTTTATTCTAATTGCTGACAGTCAGTATACACTCCCTGGACCTGGTCTAGTGATTAGCAGCTAGAAGGAGGGGGAGATGGGGCACTCCTCGAGACATGTGATCAGAATCTTGTAGAAGGATGTGAAGTTCGAAAAAGCATCTTAACTATCGTGGTGGAATTTTTGTAATGTTCCATTTTGGAAATGAAAAAATTTTGAAACACAGATTAGAATATAAAGCTCCACAAAATCTTTGTTGGATGTAAGGAAAAGGGCTCATGGGAGAAGTTTGCTTATTCAAAGGCGGTGTGGATTTTGCACAAAGAAAGATGGAGAAACACACCCTCGTCACCGAGAAGCTGGCTCTGTGCTAAGTGATGGTCATGCTTTAGGTTTTCTTTTTTTTCCATTTTTCTCTTCCCTGTAGCTCAGCCCTCTCTTCCTGCTATAGCCGAGTGTACCAAAGTCTCGCCAACCTCATTCGCTGGTCTGACCAAGTGATGCTGGAAGGTGTGAACTCAGAAGACAAGGAGATGGTGACGACTGTGAAGGGGGTCATCAAGGCCGTGCTGGATGGAGTGAAGGTACTGGTGCAGGTTCCAGACCGTCCCCGTCAGGGACTTAAGAGCAGCCTGCCTGCTGGTGCTTGTCACATAAGATCTTGCTCCCAACCTTCAAACATTAGAATGTCTTTCTGCGTCTCTCGTGTTGGTGCGCTGTATCCCATAACTACTTACTTCTCTCAGGACTGGTGCAAATGGCTCTTATGGAAAAGCTGCCCAGAGCAGTCAGCCCTTACTGAGCATTGCATTAAATCTTCAGTGAGCCTTCGTAGCATCGTGCTGGCTGAGCATGCTTACCAGCTAGACAAAATGCAATGGAGATCGTTTTCACAATGACTTTAAGCAAAGCTCCCAGCATGTCATGTCAGCGCTACCTTTTCATATTCTGGGAACTTCTAGGATTCTTGGTAGAAAAGCAGGAGTGAGTTGAGTAAGAAATGGAACTTTCTATATTTACTTGACGTCCATGATGTGGTCTGTGTATTTGCTATCCAGAGAAGTCAGAAACGGCGTAAGAAATTATGAATCCTAGTTAAGATGGAAAGCAAAGCCCATAGAGGGTCTGGAATTAGGGTCAGGGGGACAAATCCTAATAGAGAAAATAAGTCCTAGTGGATGGGGAGCAAGACAGAATGTTGGACATGAACCAGGTAAGGGCCTTTGGGTCAGGGCCAGGGCTGCAGGCAGCAGGACAGTGGAAACCCCGCTATTGTGTGAGGCCGTATAATGTAGTAGAAAGGGGGCCAGCCTTAGCACCTGGATAAATTTGAATCCCAAGTTCATCACTTGCTAGTCTGTGAACTTGAGTAATTTACTCAACTGCTCTGCACCTTAAGTAACTCATTTATAAAATAGGAATAATAATAGCATCGTGCATTGCAGGGTTATAGGAAAAATTACACTAGTCAATACACATAATGCTTCTAGAACAGCACCTGGCACATATGGAGCAGTCAGGCCTTAGCTGCTATTTATTATTAATTATGCGGTGCTAGATGCATGCTTTGTAAACAGACCTCTTGGCTTGAAAAAACCTGCGTCCCTCTCTTTTCTGGACCCCTCAGTCCACAATTATAGCTGAGGTATTTACCCCAGGTCAAAAAAAATTCCTTCCCACTCAACCAGGCTAACAAATTCCTGAAAGCTGTCTCCTTGGCTTAACATTCCCCAGCAGCTCTGGAGAGTAGAATAAGGACCCCCAAAGGGCTTAAATTACAGAGAGAGGCTGAGAAAGCATTGCTCAGCATTGAAAATTGCTCCAGAATGAAATGTGTGTTTGCCAGGACATCTGGGTGGCCCTCCACCCCCAGCAGCATTTAAGGGGAAGCTGATGTGTCTGCTGGGGTCATGGAGTTCATGTAAAGGGGGCTTGCCTAGATGACATCAGTATTTTCCTCTGAATTCCCCATGTTCTCCTTTTTTTTTTTTTTTCTTTGAGATGGAGTCTCGCTCTGTCACGCAGGCTGGAGTGCAGTGGTGCAATCTTGGCTCACTGCAATCTCTGCCTCCCAGGTTCAAGTGATTCTCCTGCCTCAGCCTCCTGAGATGCTGGGATTACAGGTGTGAGCTACCACACCCAGCTAATTTTATATTTTTAGTAGAGATGGGGTTTCACCATGTTGGCCAGGCTGGTCTCGAACTCCTGACCTCAGGTGATCCGCCCACCTCGGCCTCCCAAAGTGTTGGGATTACAGGCATGAGCCACTGCGCCCAGCCTGCCCGTGTTCCCTTCATTCCAAAAAGTTACTAGTGTCTGCTTAGGGCAGCGAGACTCAAGGGTGTAGCCCAGGGTGGCTGTTGTGATCAGACCCGATGGCCCTTTCCAGGATTTGAAGGACAGGCACGTACGTTATCCTGTCTGGTTCTCACAGTAGCACATTGGGTTCAGCAGGGCAGAGTGGGACATGGCCTGGGGCTTTATCAGCAGTCCCGAGTCACTCTGGCTCACCCATCCCTGCTGTTCCTGTCCAGGCTTCTGAAAATGCTATTATTGAAAATTGTTATTTTTCAGGTAACATTATTAAGGTGTCCTTCTATCAAATTGATTCTGATGAGATGTTCACAAGTTAGAGTAGCCAAAACGGAGGAGAGTGAGTTTCCACTCATAAAGCTTTGTGACAGTCCCAAGTACATTTCCTCTGTGGAGTCATTACAGCACCACTTCATTAGTTGAAAGGCATGTCTGAAAGAAAAATTTCCTTGATTTTTCAAAGTGACTGGGACAAAAAAACAAGAGAGAGAAACCTATAGATTATGAACCTGTCAGTGTCGGAGCAAATAACTTTTCCACAATTGCTTTAAAAATAGTTCAGCCAGAACAAAGATTCTCTAGGTGAGAAGCTTTACAAATTCAGTTTTGTTTCATTTATTCAAGAAGCATGTAGTGAGAACCTTCAGTGTGCCAGGCAGTGAGAGAGAATTGGGAATATGAGCAAAGCTGGCCCAGACCCTGCCCTGTGGCACTTAAAGTCTAAGGAGGACAGGACCATAAACACAAAGGCACACCCATGTGATATAGCGCTGCCAAGGGAGATGGCACAGGGTGCGATGAAAGGGTATGATGACCTTCGTTTCTCAGGGTGATCAGAGACGCTTCCCCAAGGAAGAGACAGGCCAGCATCTGGAGGATGGACAGGAGCTGCCTGTGGCTGGGAGCTTTTCGTGCTGGAGTCATTACAGGCAGTGAGAGTGATCGAGACACTATGATGTTGGCATTTGTTGTTATTGTCTAATAGTAATAATATCTAACATTTATTGGGTGCTTTTTGTACATTATCCTCACTTTATACTCATGACAACCCTCCATAGTAGGCATGAATGGCTGCCCCTTACCCCTTTCACAGGTGTGGAGACTCAGGCCCAGGTGGAGCAGTAGAGTCAGTGGCAAGGGCATGATTCCCACCCCAACCCGCTGTCCCCTCCCCGGCTCCTGCGCACCATGTCATCCGAGCTACCTCCCACGGGAGGACAGGATTCTCTGCACTCCCACCCACAAGCCAGCTGTGACTTCCAGCGTCTCTCGCCGACCCTTCAGGCCTGGGACACCGTACAAGCCCATGCCCTGGTAGCATGAGAGAGCCTCCCACAGCTGGGAGGGGCCGGAGCTGTGCAGAGGGGAAACGCACTCACGAGGATGTCGACAGCCCACTGGAGGAGGGGCTGAACGCTGCTTTACACTGACTCACCATCGTTTACGTAACCCATTCAGTTGTTCAAGGGAGTCTTTCCCCTTTTTTTTGAATGATTGAACATGTGTTATAAAACAGGATTACTTTGATTTTGTCCCTGAATGGGTAGTAGCATTTATCATTTAAGCCTCCACATAAATGCCACTTGTTCAAGCTGTATAACCTTGGGCAAGTTACTTCCCTGAGTTTCAAGTAGGTTTTAAAATATTTGCCCTGAAGATTTGAGGAGAGATTCAGTAAGATAAAGTATATAAAGTACCTGGTAAGAACTAGGTAACCCGGAGGCAGTGGGGAAACAGTGTTGCTTGGAGAAGTGTTCATTTCTAATGGCTCACAGTGACCATTTTTGACGGTGATGATGGCTCTCTTCCAGGTAGTCTTATAATCTCAGGTAAGAGATAGACCCCTGTCACCTCGTTAGGTTCTGGGGCTGCTTTTCCACCGGGAGCGTGTAGCTCAGAGCTGATTATGACTCTTGAAGGATGGAAATCTGAGGAATTTAAAGACCCTCAATGTTTTTCTCTGAAAACCACACCCAGTCTAGCACCTGGATGTTGGGGGGCTGAGCCACTCAAGGTCAAAGAGATATCCCAGCATGACCTTTTGAAATCAGTACCCCACCTCTTTCCAACTTGACCAGTTAATTTCCTCTCTTACTTGAGCACCAGAGCTGTATTTTGACTTGTCAAAGGTCATTTAAGCCCTTCCTTCTCTGTGATTATTTTCTTTCTTTCTTTTTTTTTTTTTTTTTTTTTGAGACGGAGTCTCACTCTTGTTGCCCAGGCGTGATCTCAGCTCGCTGCAACCTCCACCTCTAGGGTTCAAGTGATTCTCCTGCCTCAGCAGGAGATTACAGTAGCTGGGATTACAGGCACCCACCGCCACGCCCGGCTAATTTTTTTATCTTTAGTAGAAACAAGGTTTCACCATGTTGGCCAGGCTGAACTCCTGACCTCCAGTGATCCGTTCGCCTAGGCCCCCCAGAGTGCTGGGATGATAGGCGTGAGCCACTGCGCCCGGCCTATAATCATTTTCAATATGAATAACATGAACATGGAAGTAAAGTATTACATATTTGGAGAGCTACTTTTCCAAATACCGTTTTTGACTTTTGAAAACTGATTTTCAGTGACCAGCCGGGAGTTTTCAGTCACTGTTGTAGACATAGACTCTAGAGTAGTCTCTTACAGTCTTTTTTTTTCCCCCCAAGACAGTCTCACTCTGTCACCCAGACTAGAGTGCAACAATGGCGCAATCTGTGCTCACTGCAACCTCTACCTTCTGGATTCAAGTGATCCTCCATTCTCAGCCTCCTGAGTAGCTGGGACCATAGGTGCATACCACCACATCCAACTAATTTTTTTTTTTTTTTTTTTTTTGGTAAAGACAGGGTTCTACCATGTTGCCCAGGCTGGTTTTGAACTCCTGGGCTCGAGTAATTCACTCATCTCGGCCTGCCAAAGTGCTAGGATCACAGGCATGAGCAACCACGCCTGGCCTTTTTATTAGTCTTTTTTTTTTTTTTTCTTTGAGACGGAGTCTCGCTCTGTCGCCCAGGCTGGAGTGCAGTGGCACGATCTCGGCTCACTGCAAGCTCTGCCTTCCGGGTTCATGCCATTCTCCTGCCTCAGCCTCCCGAGTAGCTGGGACTACAGGCGCCCGCCACCGCACTTGGCTAATTTTTTATATTTTTAGTAGAGGCGAGGTTTCACCGTGCTCTCAATCTCCTGACCTACACGTGATCCACCCACCTCGGCCTCCCAAAGTGCTGGGATTACAGGAGTGAGCCACCGCGCCCGGCCTTTCAGTCTTTTCTAACTTGTGCCTCAGGACAATTAAAAAGTCTGACATCCCTCTCAAAAAAAATTCTACCTTCAGTAGGAGGTATTGGGCTCATGCCAAGTTATAAATGGTCAGCTTTCAATGAGATTAGGGTGTTAGCACAGTAGCTAGATATGTGCACATTTTAGGGTTTCTCTTCTGTGATAGTTAAGACAAGTCAAGACTAAAGACCTTCTGTCTAGGCAGGGAGATAGGTGGTAAATTTAAAAAGCAGCCCGCCCCCTTTTATACTGTTTTCAAGCCTAGACCATGCGAGCTAGTGTAGGGAGCATGATTGGGATCGTGACATCATCTTTGAATTCGGGCGCCTGCCTGCACATGTGTGCCTGTCATTCCAGGATTCTTTTGCCATCGTTCATTAGTTGAGTTTACAGCTGCCTCTCCAGAAAGATGACGATCTAACTAGAATTGCTCATGAATCAATGAAGAGTCGGGAATGTTTTCCTGTATCAACAGATGCAAACAACACAGACTTCTTTCTGTTCCTTTCGCCCTGCTTGTAAAGAAGAGTGAATCTGAAAGTGGGGTGTCCAGGGCACTGTGTTCTGGCACTCTTTAACTCCCTTTAAGGCCGTGATGCTCTTCTTTGGGGCCTGGCGTTGTGCTTTTAGGAAGAGCTGCGTCTCCCACCGTCCCCCCTCCTCCAGGCGATAGGGTGCAGGGGAGCTGCCTCTGTCCTAATTGCTCTCTTCCCTGATTGTATAGTCTCTCATCCTCTATCTTGTCCTGTTTGTAATCAATCACCAGCTAGATGACTGCTCCTTAAATATTAACTTCTAAATTATGCGAACATCTAAGTATTAAGGTTCTCCTTTCTTGCTATTACTTGGCTCTTAGAGATTTTACTTCTCCACAGTTCTTCAAGAATAGACATCTGAATGGGATAACAACTGTCACAGAGTAGGGTAATACTGAACCTGTGTCTGTGGATATGCCTGGCTGGGCATGGTGGCTCACACCTGTAATCCCAACACTTTGGGAGGCCAAAGCAGGAGGATCACTTAAGCCCAAGAGTTTGATAGATGCATTTAGTTTTGGGGGGGTTTGCTTGTTTAGTTATTATTTCAGAAGTAATGTATGTTCATTTCAGAAAATTTAGAAAATAGAAAAAGAACAAAATAAAGGGGTGTTTCATAGCCATATTTTTTGTATTACATATATTCTTGATTTGGCTTTGTTTACAAAACGTGCAATATATACCAGCATATCACCTAGAACTATTTTTCCACTTAATGTATTACAGCATCTTTCCATGATACAGTGCATATTCTTGTTGTGACTTTGTTTTTAATAACAATGTAATGGTTGGCCCATTGTCTGGTTCTATCATGACTTATGTAATCAGTACATATTATCAAATATTTAATTGTGGGATATTGAACTATTCAAAATTATCACATTAATGATACATAATCTTATGTATACTCTGTGATGACCATCTTTTGTGGTTTAATTTTTGCACACATTCATGACATTTTTCTTGGGCAAGATTCTTTTTTTAAGAGACGGAGTCTTAATCTCTCACCAAGGCTGGAGTGTGATTACAGTTCACTGCAGCCTTGAACCCCTGGGCTCAAGCCATCCTTCTGCCTCAGCCTCCCAAAGTGCTAGGATTATAGGCATGAGCCATTGCACCTGGTGCAAAATTCTCATAATGCAAATGTTTAAGGCTTTTGATATATACTGATAAGTCATCCCTCTAAAGAGGCTGTCTGAAGCGGTGCTCCCACCTACTATATCTGGAAGTTTCTATTTTATTACTATCCAAAGTGATGAATGTCTTATGATTATTGACCATTGGTATCTGTGACTTTCTTGTTTGATATTTTTTTTGGCGTGTTCACCTTCTAGTTTTTGTGTTTTCGAAAGAACCCTTGCACTGGGAAGGATGGTAACTGACTCTGACTTATTTGCAGAATACACTGCCATTTTGGTGTGTGGTATTTTTGAGTCGAGAGGCTTGGCAGCCACTGGTTCAGGGTCTCTGGTTACTGTGTTGCCCACTGGCATCCGCTGCCACCTCCTCTATAACTTGGAACAGCTTCCTGCTGAAACACGTAGGCCCTGGCCAGATGTCCATCGACAGGAAGGCAGGGGGAGTTGTGATGCATCCACTCGTGGGAACACTGCCGGCAACTAGCAGCAGGCGCCTCGCACACACGAAGCACAGCCGTTGACGCTGAGCTTGGGGGACAGAGCAGGCAAAGATGTGTGGACAGGAAGTGGATTGGTGGCTGCCAGGGGCTGGGGGTCGAGGGGAATGTGGAGTTTCCTTTTGGGGTGATGAGAAGTCCTAAAATTGATTGTGCTGATGGTCACACAACTCTGTGAACAGACTAAAAACCACTGAATCGTACACTTTAAATGGGTGAATTTGATGGCATATGAATTATATATCCATAAAGCTGTTTTTAAAAAGAAAATGGACACAAAAGTATATATATGATATGGTTGCATTTATATAAAGTTCTAGGACAGGCAAAAGTAATCTATGATAATGGAAGTTAAAAAACGGTTGGGGCGGGGCAGATTGGCTGGAAATGTTCTTTGTGTTTTTAGTGGCACTTACTTGGGTATATGCAGTTGTCAAAACTCATCAAACTGGGAGAAAATGCATTCTAATCTTTTTTAAAAAACCACATGGGCCCTTAGGTCTTCCCTTTTTTTTCTTTTGCTATGATTTGAAAAAGGCTATTTTTCTTTTCTTTTTTCTCAGTTAATGGTTCTAAAGTGATTTCTTTGCTGGGTTATCTCCCCTGAACTCCTTCTCCATTGACAAGGATCCCAACCAGCCCCCACCTGCCCCCACCAGCTAGCTGCTCCACCACACCTGTGGCGAGCTCACCTTGGGAAGCCACCCAGTGCCACACGATCTAGTGGCTTTAGAGAACTAGAAACAGAGTAATTCCCCAACAAACTGACTGGGAATCTGTTCTGCCGGGTATTGTAATTTGTGTGATAAACAATCATTTTGAGACTCTGGGGTTTGCCATTTCCCCTTCCAAGAGGAAGTGCCTTTACGCATTTGAAACTTCTTGACATGCCATGAAGGTATTTTTGGAGGGCCGGGGACATTTGGGAAGTCATGCAGATTACCTAAGGCAAGTGATTCTTGCGTTTATGGTGCGTGGAGAATATGTAGGCACAGAAATGAGACTCAGCAGCAGAGGACAGACAGCACCTGCCTGCCTTCTTGTGGAAACTCAGTGGTGACAGGAGCTTTGCTCATTGCGTTTTTCTTTTGGGGGTAGGAGCTGGTCAGGCTCACCGTCGAGAAGCAGGGACGTCCGTCTCCGACGAGCCCCGTGAAGCCCAGTTCCCCTGCTGGCAAGCCTGATGGGTAGGTGCTGACTAACCCTCCTGTCGCGGGGGTCACACTCAGTGGCAAAGTCTCTACATTTGACAAGGATAGGGCCCGGGGGGTTGGCAGCATGAGGGTGGGCTGCTGGAGGCCCATATTGCTTTTTCAGTGGTTAGCATTGTGTGTATATTTCAAACAGGCTTGAAGTATTGCCCATCTCAAGTTTACTCTTCAGCGTGACTGTTTCCAAGGATCATGTGTGAGCGCATCCAGTGACACGTACCAGTGCTTTTCCTGGGCAACTTCGTTTCATAATTACAAAGAACTTTTAAGGGCTTGGGTTTGGGGGATTTGACTTGAGCGCACTCTTGCTTGATCCAGAGTAAACTGAGGATGACATCGATGGTTGTAAGGGTTTATATTCATCTCTACTCCAAGCTCCTGGTAAAAATATAAAACATAAATTTGGAGCTTTTGTTTTGTTTTTGAGACAGAGTCTCTGTTGCTCAGGCTGGGGTCCAGTGGTACGATCTGGGCTCACTGCAACCTCCTCCTCTCAGGTTAGAGTGATTCTCCTGCCTCAGCCTTTCAAGTAGCTGGGACTACAGGTGCACGCCACCACACCCAGCTAATTTTTGTATTCCATGTTGGCCAAGCTGGTCTCAAACTCCTAACCTCAAGTGATCTGCCGCCTTGGCCTCCCAAAGTGCTGGGATTATAGGTGTGAGCCACTGTCCCGGCCTGGAGCATTTTAGAGAGCCCTTAGATCATCTTCCGATGAGGAAACTGAGGTGCAAAGTTGGGGGCACAGCCAAGCTCCAGTAGCTCCTTAGCAACCAAACCAGAACCCCAGAGCTCTGTATCCAGGGAGCCTGCTCTTCAGCCCCACCTCACCTACCATGTTCTACCCAGTCACATCCTCACCCTCTCAGGGCCTGTATGTGCTCGTCCCATCTTTGACCTTCTGTAACCCCAAGTTCTTCCCAATTCTGCAGCCCAGCAGAGCTCCCCCTGACAGACCGTGAGGTAGAAATCCTAAACAAGACGACCGGGATGTCACAGTCAACTGAGCTCCTCCCAGACGCCACAGATGAAGAGGTCGCGCCCCCCAAGCCCCCTCTGCCTGGCATTCGGGTGGTTGATAATAGGTAATTACCTTCCTGTTTGTCCAGTGCCTCCCATGGCAGAATGAGCAAGAAAGGGAGGAAGGCAGGGCTCGGGCCCTTTCCCCTCAGTGCTGGGGGCTTGGCCCCCCTTGGGAGGCTGACTCTGGAGCTGTCTCCACCCCGCCCAGCCCTCTCTGGCCACGCTGAGCTCTCCTGAAGGCCTCCTTGTGCCCTCAGCCCAGGGAGACCTGGTATGATTTATTATGAAAGAAAAAGAAAGGGTTGTTCTTTTTCGTTTATTTGGTATTTACAGGTTTTACTTTGGCGGAGGGGAGTAGGCAGGAGTTGAAGTGTGAACACTGGGTGTGGAGAGTCTAGTAATGAAAGAGCCCCACATCCTGTACCCCAATATCACGCTGAAGAGCTTTGGTGAGTGTGGTTTGGTCTGCCTGGACGTTTCGGTCTGTTTCAGTCCTCCACCAGCATTGCCACCCAAGAAAAGACAGTCGGCACCGTCCCCTACCCGAGTGGCTGTGGTGGCCCCCATGAGCCGAGCCACCAGTGGCTCCAGTTTGCCTGTTGGAATCAATAGGCAGGTAATGCAGCTCGTGTTCGCTTCTTGGGAAGGCAGGGAGGGGGTGGGGGGCTCAGGGATTTGCTCCTGAAGCTGAAAGAAACCCATGGTCTTCAGTCGCTGGTGTTTTGTCACATCGAGGGGTGTGAGACCTTGTACCCATGCCTCTCATTCCAGGACATGATCCAAATTCCCATATGGGGATAAGGGTCAGGGCAGGGAGGCCAGAGCCAAAGGGCGTCTCCTGGGGATAGGTGAGCCCAGCCCCAGAGCCCTCCCCGGTCACACCCCCCACCAACTCCAGATGGCTGCTTCTCTGCTGTATGTGTCCTTCAGTTGCTGACGTTAGAGCCGGTTTTTGAGTTTGCCTGGTAGTATTTCCTTCTCTAAGTAAATGCATCGGTTGCCTCACCCCGGTCTCTGCCACCGTTTCTCAGAAGTGACTTGGCTTTGTTTTTCTTTTTCCGTTTAAGGATTTTGACGTTGACTGTTATGCACAGAGGCGACTGTCAGGAGGCAGCCACTCATATGGTGGAGAGTCGCCCCGCCTCTCCCCTTGCAGCAGCATAGGCAAGCTCAGCAAGTCAGACGAGCAGCTGTCCTCTCTGGACAGGGACAGTGGGCAGTGCTCCCGGAACACAAGCTGTGAAACACTAGGTGAGCCGCCAGCATCCTCCTGTTCCATCCTGTCTTGGTGGCTTCTCTGGGGCCATACAGTCCTGGGTGGGAGTCCCAGGTCATGCGATCATTGACTACGTGACTTTGGCCAACTTGTTTAAAATCTGAGCCTCAGCTTCCTCATCTGCAAAATAAGGATAACAGTATCTGCCTCCCTAGGAAGTTGAGCATGTAAATGAAATCACAACGTAAAACCACAGCCTAGATATTCAAGCGGTAACTGTTGTTAGTTCATCTGTCAGTGGGTAATTTGACTCTCTTTACCAAAATTAAGAGCCATTTGTGTTGAGAGCTTTAAATGAAGGGGTGGGGGTCCTGACAACACTTGACAGAGGCTGAAGGGGAAAGAGCTGCACGAGCCAGCCTTCTCCTTAGTCAGCGCTGAATGTGTGCTGTGCGGGCCCCTCCCGTCTGCCGGGCAGGGGGCTTAGAGAGCAGGAAGCTGTTTGTATCCTGTGAACTAGATATTTTCACTTCTGAGAATGTATCCTAGGAGCATAATCAGCGATTAATAGCAAGATTTCATTGGTAGGAAATCAGGTGAATGATGGTACATTCATTTGCTGGAATAATCTGTAGCTATTAAAAATTGCTCATAATATATTGATAACTGGAAAAAGTACAGGGCCATTTACATATTTTCATAGTATTCTCAATTTTTTTTTTGAGACAGAGCCTCACTCTGTCACCCAGGCTGGAGTGCAGTGACACTATCTGGGCTTACTGCAACCTCCGCCTCCCAGGTTCAAGTGATTCTCCTGCCTCAGCCTCCCAAGTGGCTGGGACTACAGGTGTGCACCACCACGTCCGGGTAATTTTTTTGTATTTTTAGTAGAGGCGGGGTTTCACCATGTTGGCCAGGCTGGTCTTGAACTCCTGACCTCAGGTGATCCGCCCGCCTCAGCCTCCCAAAGTGCTGGGATTACAGGCGTGGGCCACCGTGCCCAGCCAATTTTTGTATTTTTAGTAGAGAAAATGGTTTCATCACATTGGCCAGGCTGGTCTTGAACTCCTGGCCTCAAGTGAGCAGCCCACTTCAGCCTCAATAAGTGCTGGGATTACATTCATGAGCCACTGCGCCCAGCCAATTTTTGTATTTTTAGTAGAGACAGGGTTTTGCTACATTGGCCAGGCTGGCCTTGAACTCCTGACCTGAAGTGATCGGCCTGCCTCAGCCTTGCAAAGTGCTGGAATTATAGGCGTGAGCCACCACGCAGCCCTCAGTTGGGCTTTTTCAAAAAGGAATCCTAGAAGCAAAAGAGGCATTTAAGGAAATACATCAAAATGTAAATAGAAAATACAGTTAGATTACGGGATTGTGGGTGATTTTTATTTTCTTGATGTAATTTGCCACGGTTTCTGTGATGGTTGTGTATTTTTTTTTTTTTAAGTAAGAAATATAAAAAATAAGAAAAGTATAGCAAACAGCCATATTCCCATCTGGTTTGCTTTTATAATCAGGGAGAAGAATGACGAATATAACATGTAAATATAAACGAAACCCTGGAGACATGTCTTTGTCACACACCCATGAGCAAGCCAGCGAGAGGTGGGCAGCGGGGGCTGGCTGCCCCTGCAGGGCCTCTGGCTAACGGGTCTTTTTTTTCCCCTGTTGTAACTGCAGACCACTATGATCCCGACTATGAATTCCTCCAGCAAGACCTCTCTAACGCAGACCAGATACCTCAGCAGACGGCCTGGAACCTTAGCCCGTTGCCAGAGTCTTTGGGGGAGTCTGGGTCTCCATTTGTTGGCCATCCTTTCCAGCTGCCTCTTGGCAGCCATCCCCAGCCAGACGGACCTCTGGCCCCAGGGCAGCAGACAGATACGCCGCCTGCTCTCCCCGAGAAGAAGCGCAGGAGTGCAGCCTCCCAGACGGCGGACAGCTCTGGCTGCAGGGTGTCCTACGAGCGGCATCCCTCGCAGTACGACAACATCTCTGGGGAGGACCTGCAGAGCACGGCCCCAATCCAGTCCGTCCCCTATGCGCCCTTTGCTGCTATTCTCCCCTTTCAGCATGGAGGTTCCTCAGCCCCTGTCGAATTTGTGGGTGATTTTACTGCTCCTGAATCAACGGGTGACCCGGAAAAACCACCTCCTCTACCAGAGAAGAAAAACAAACACAGTAAGCTTTTGTTGCACTGTTGTCAGGAAGTGCATTTTATAACCTGAAATGGCAGTATGTTTTCTTTCAGCATCAGACCAGAAGCAAATCAGTGGCCTCATTATTTCATAAAAGATAGGCCAGCCAGGTATGTCGACACTTCTGGGAGCCAGGTTTTCTCGTTACAGGTGATCGTTTTTAAAGCCTGATCAGCTGATCTCTCCTTTACAGTTTCCGTACAGTCTCAGGCCGATTCTCCACGTAGCCCGAGGGCTTCTCCTCTTTAGATGGCAGCAGTTGACCTTCTGGGCTGATCACAGTGACAGAGGGGAACAAGTGTCCTGGCATGCAGGACAGCATTGCAGCAACATCTGCGTAGAGCGAGGTGGATATGTGAATTTCAGCAGAACTTACCTAGTGTCCACAGAGTGATTGTCTAAGGACCCTGTCTAGAGCACGCTGTCTCTGTTCATGCTCCCAGAATAACGTGGGAGCTGAGGTTGCCCAGCAGGAGTAATTGAGGACACTTCTTGGACCAAACATTTTAATATATGATGTTGCTGGAGCCCAGGGGTGGAGCTGAAGTTTTGAATATTTTCCAACTGTAAATCTGCCATAAAAGTAATAAGGAGAGTTCTCCTGGAAATTCTGTTTTCTCCTAGCTCCCCTAACTGCCCCACACTTCTGGGAGTTGCCTGGCCCTCTCTGTCCCCGCCCTCTCCCCGCTTCACTAGCATAGTTCTGCTTCGATTTTCTTGGCAGTGCAGCTGTCACCGTTTCAATGTGTGTGGTCACGTTAGCCCCACAGCCCCAGGCTTCCCTGGCCTCAGTTGACATATCCAACAGAGAACTTCTGTGAACTAGAAATGGAATCTCTACTCCAAATTCCCAAATGAGAGCATCTGAGCCCAGCTTAGAACTGGGCCCCATTCTCAAAGAAGGGAAGACCTGGCTTGGTTCAGTCCAGCAAGGATCGCCCTGAGGGCCGGCTGCGTGGTCTCCAGAAGGCTGCGGCTGAGATGGTGTCATGTATCCCCAGCTCCTCGGTGGGTGTTGCCCAGCTTGTGTGATGGCCTCAGCAGTGGTCCCCCAGCTAGAGGGAGGGCTGGCTCTGTGGGACTAATGATGTCATCCCCATCTGTCGTGTATATTCGCTCATCAGAAACCAGGGCTCCCGCAGAGGAGTGTGCAATGACAATGCCAGAAGCATTTCCTTCTCTTCCCCTCCCTCTGCATGGACAAGTGTTTAAAGAGCTGTTGGCCTCCCCCTTCACCCCTGTTATCTTGGGCTACATGCCACACAGGCTCACCCCCTTTCCTTCCCTAGGGGAGGGGTCCTCTGAGCTCAGACACTGGGCAGGATGGCATCCTTACAAACTGCAGCAGACGCCAGAGAGCCTTACCCTTCCAGCTCCTAGAACAAGTGTGGGCGGCGGTCCTCATGCAGGGTCTGTAGAGGGGAGAAGGAAAGGGAGGGGTAGCCAGTGTTTCCTTTCAAACAGTCTCAAGTGGCTGAAAATCCCCAGTAATTTAGGCCACCATTTTGAGGCTTTAACCCATTCATCAGTGTCTCCAGCACTGGAGCCTGCAAACCTCTAAAAAACTCCTGAGCTGCAGCCATGGCGTGCCCTGAGCTAAAGCTTCACACGCCCTGTCGAAGGTCATCGTGACAGCCACCTGCAAGGCAGGCCCTGTTAGCTCCAATTTCATAGGTAGAGAAACTGGAGCTTAGAAGAACTGAGTATTGCCCAAGATCAACAAGCAAGTGGGGCACGGATCTGGGACTGAGAGCCTGACCTGAGTTGTACAAGCCTGTTACACTTCCTCCCGAGCCAAGGAGGAAGGGATTCAGCCCTCCTTCCTTGAGATCCCATCCAGTTTTCAGTGTTGACCCCTATGCAGGGGGTGGTCTTCTCCATACTCTGTGAAAGAGCCCCAAACTTAGGTACCCTGAGCCTCAGTCCTAGTCCCCAGTCTGCTCTTCACTCCCCGAGGGGACCCTCAGGTGACCTTGTGGAAAATGCCTCAAAATTGCTTTCAGGGAAAGAAGGAAAGAATCATCACCCTGGCCGCGTGGCTGACAGTGGCCTGAGTTCACGCACGCTCAGTCCCAGTGTCACGACGTATCCTCATCATTTGGGATGCACTGATATCATGAGGGTCCCCAGCCCCTCTTGCCAGGGACAACCCTATGAGTCCCTTGCACCAGACGAGCCTTGTGATCACTGTCCGGCACCTGAAATCCCCACAGTCCCAGGCCCTGAGCACTGGCGGCTGAGTCTTCCCAGCAATGCTGGCTGCCTGGCCACTGAGCTGCTTTTGAAATGGACCGGGTCCTCCTCATTTCTAGAAGGCTGGGAATGTCACTGCTATTCCCTATGCTTGGCTAGCAGGTCTCTACAAGGGCTTCATCATCAAGAGTTCAGAAAGACCTTCTGAAGAGATCACAGTTTCACAGAAAAGTCAGGCAGAGGTGGTTGTGTTTAGTCTTTTTCTTTTTTCCGTAGTTCACTGCAGCCTTGAACTCGGTTCAAGGGATCCTCCCACCTCAGCCTCTTGAATAGCTGGGACCATAGGCATATACCACCATTGCTAATTTTTTTCTTTTCTTTTTTCTTTTTAGAGATGGGAGTCTCACTGTGTTGCCCAGGCTGGTGTCGAACTAGCCTCAAGTGACCCTCCTGCCTCAGCCTCCCAAAGCACTGGGATTATAGGCATGAGCCACTGTGCCCGGCCACGTTTAGTCTTTTTAGGGAGCAGTTTGTGGGTGCTTGGGATCACCTTCCTAGGCTTGCCCCTTCCTCTGGAGCCTGGTGACGATGGTTGCGCAGCATTAAAGAGGAAGTGTGGGGCTAGGCGCAGTGGCTCACGCCTGTAATCCCATCACTTTGGGAGACCGAGCCAGGTGGATCACCTGAGGTCAGGAGTTTGAGACCAGCCAGACCAACATGGCACAACCCTATCTCTACTGAAAATACAAAAATTAGCTGGACGTCGTGGTCCATGCCTGTAATCCCAGCTACTCGGGAGACTGAGGCAGGAGGATCACTTGAACCCACGAGGTGGAGGTTGCAGTGAGCCGAGATCACACCATTACACTCCAGCCTGGGCGACAAGAGCGAAACTCAGTCTCGAAAAAAAAAAAAGGAAGTGTAAGACAAGCTCAAGGGGCTGCGAGCTGCCCTTTCAGTAGCAGCAGCTGACCTCAGGGGGGAACCATCTCTTCCTGTGCATCTTTTCCGACCAAGTTCTGCTCTGCTTGTTGGAGCTAGTAAGAAATTCTTACATAATCTTTTAAATAAAGAAGGTGACTTTGAACCCTTTCCTTCAGTGACACTCCTGGAGAGAGAGCATTTCCTCTATACCTGGACCCCCAGAGCGGCTCAGGGAAGAAATAAACTCCCTACCTCTGTGACTGTCTTCCTCAGCTCAGTGTCTGGCCTTCCTTGATTTGTTGACTAGTTGAGGTTTGCAGAAAAGCCTCTGGCTTTGTGCTTATTTGAGGATACAAAATTTAGCACTGCAGAGCCACCACTTTTTCTTGGTATCTGAAGCTCAGCTCCACCTGGCAGGTGCTCGTGGCACTTGTGACGTGCCCCGAGGGGAAAGTGCCTGCTCAGGAGGTGGCTGAGACTTGCCATCCCTTGAGTCCCTCGCTTGAGTCCTGAGTTCGCATTAGGGTTCCCCATCGGTGTTGCGCGTCTGCCGGTCTGGACGTGTCTCCTCCATTAGCGCATCAGACAGGGTGTGATTTCACTGCCCGAAAAGGCCTCTGCACTCCGCCTGTTCGTCCCTCCCTGAGGTGCTTTCGGTGGAAAGCCCCCTAGCTGCTGTGGGAAGAATGCGGGGAGGGGTTCCCTGACGTGGCAGCCCCCAGCCTTGCTGCAGCTCTGTCCCTCCGTTTCACAGTGCTGGCCTACATGCAGCTGCTGGAGGACTACTCGGAGCCGCAGCCCTCCATGTTCTACCAGACGCCGCAGAACGAGCACATCTACCAGCAGAAGAACAAGCTCCTCATGGAGGTATACGGCTTCAGCGACTCCTTCAGCGGGGTGGACTCCGTGCAGGAGCTGGCCCCGCCGCCCGCCCTACCCCCCAAGCAGCGGCAGCTGGTGAGTGACACCCTCCCTTGTGACTAGAACTTCTGATTCTAGCAGGTCTCTAGGAACCAGAACGAGCTTCCTCCCTGCCGTGGCAGGGCCCCAGTTTTGGGTGTGGAAGGCACCATCTCCCACACAGATGCTTTTACTTCCTCCTGAGATGCTCACCAGCAGCCCAGTGCCCACTCCACCACCTCCCCACCCTGGGGTGCAGGGACCTTTCTTTTCCACAGCAGGCCCACGCAGCAGGGACAGGCTTGTACTCAGGGTGTTTGCTCTCTCTGCTGACAGTCTCTTGTATTTTTTTTCTGTCTTCTTTGGCTTCAACATAGACCTCCCAGAAGGGAGGGACTCAGTCAAAGCACAGGACATGGTCTGTGCATGGCCATCTGTGGACTTGATTGGCATAATGGGCCTAACTGTGTAGAGTGACTTACAACCCAGCCTTGGCCGGGGAGGGCCCAAGGGAAACAAGCGCCATTGAAGCGGAGGATGGCTTTAAACAGAGCCACTCTGTTTCAGACACGGCACCTTCCTCTTCTAGAAAACACTCCTGTGCTGAGGACTCCCGTGCACGTAAGGAAGCACGGGTCAGCACAGAAGGCAGGCTGTTCCACCGTGGGCACCCCATGAGGCTCCGGAACTGCCCAGGCACTGGGCAGGTAGGCAGATGGGGGGTGCCTGTGGCATCCCTCCAAACTTTCTCCCTTTGCTGCCAGTTAATGAACATGGAGGGCCCTAGTCGGATTTGAGGATCTGAGCCTCTTGTCCAGCCATGCTCCCCAGGAAGAGGAAGCTCCCCAACAGGGAACTCCAGGCTTGTTCAGAGCTGCCTGGGTTGCTGTGCTCGTGTGCTGGCCAGTCTGGTGGCTTCTACCAGGAGGCGACTAGTGTGCCCTGGGCCATCTTTTATCCATTGCGAGAGGACATGAAGGGCCGTCTGATTCTTCTGGGAGGCAGCTGCAGACTGGAGGACAAATGTCCCTGGATTACTCCATATAATCACCTGGGGCTCAGCCCAGTCCCAGGAGTCCCTGAGCTTCCTATACTCAGTGGGCTCTGGCTGACCAAGCAAGCTGTTTTGTTTCCACTCAAAAACCACACTCGGCCCCTTCAGAGAAGGCCGTGTCCAGTAGAGGAAAGGCCAGGCTTGGAGTTGAGAGTTCTGAATTCCAGTCCTGCCACTCATTAGCCGTGTCACATGTGCCATTTTCAGGGTCTCAGATCCTCACCTGCCCTGCCCACCCCACAGACACAATTGAGAATATGAGTCTCAATTGCTTTGAAGATGTTTCAAAAAGGATCCCACCATGGAAACATAAATGCCTCATTTAGAGACTCCTTGCCTAAAATGTTTGGTTAGAACCATTGCCGAGACCCAGGAGTGGTGGTGGCACATGCCTATAGTCCCAGTTACTTGGGAGGCTGAGGTGGAGGATCACTTGATCCCAGAAGTTCAAGACCAGCCTGGACAACATAGTGAGACCCTGTCTCAAAAAAAAAAAAAAAAGCCATTGCTGAGCCAGATTTATTGAAAATATTTTTGGCCCATTGGGCATCTTCTCCACACTGTGGAGTCCACAGGCTTCTGAATATTTGGGGAGACACCCCTAGTGAGTGAGTGGAATCAGAATCTGTTCCACAACGCCTGCGGGGCAGTGGTGAGCTCAGCCCCTGGAGGCCTGTTAGGAACATCTGTGTTGAACACCTCCCCAGGTAAGCACCGGGGGTCTCATCTGGCTCTACATGGTCCCTGCCACAGCTCCTGGCATCCCCATTATAAGTAAATTGAGGCTGACAGAGCTAGCGAACCTTAATCCAAGCCCACAGCTAGAAACAGAAGACCTGGGAGCCAGGCCCAATCCTAACGACAACCCAGGCGTACCACCTGACAAGTCCTGCCAGCTGCTGGTCACACCCTCTCAAATGCAGATGCAGGAAGCGTTATCCACACTTCACAGACAAAAATGGTGCTCATTACACACGCCTGTTGGCCCACGTACAGTATGATAAGCAAGATTCCAGGTGCTTCACACATATCATCCCATTTCATCCTCCCAACAGCCCTGTACAGGAGGTGCCAGGGTTCTCCCCATTTTACAGACAGAAAACCTGAGGCACAGAGACCTTTAAGTAGTTCCCAAGGCCAAACCCGTGAGAAATGGCAGGATCCAGACTCAAACCCAGGTAGCCGGAGCCCCATCTGAGTTTTGAAGACGTGTTAATGACTCATGGATCCACTCCCCACAGAGGAGCAGCTCCAAGCCCGGAGTCAGCCCAGGTCTGTGTGGCTCCAGCCACCTCGTCCTCCTTCCACCCGACCTGCTTCCAGTGGACACAAATTTTAGGATCTAGAGTAAGGAAGTGAAGGAGGGTGCCCTTTCCTGCAGATAGCCTTCGGCAGCTGGTTTTAGTCCCTGAACTGGGCCTAGAAGCCATCCCTCTCCAGAATGTCTCTGAGAGGATGTGGAGAGCGACCTCCATGGCCTTTCCCTGCACGGACCTGACTGTTCTCTGCTTCTCTCCCTCCTTCCCTGCCTTCTCTCTCCTCCCCTCTGTCCAGCAGGCCTCCTGTGCTGCTTCTTCCTTCTCCTCTGTCTCCTACTGTGTCCAGCAAACTAAAGTGGCCTTCACCCCCGAGGACGGCAGTGCCGCTCAGGGCCTCAGTGTGTCCGTCTCTAACTCCTTTCTCAGCCGGCACGGCAGCTTGCCTGTGCCCTCGGTGAGTTGCTCCCTGCTGTTCTTTACTTGGAAACACGTGAACAGGGCCATTCCTTGGTAGCGTGTGCCTCAGCTATGTGTTCTGCCCATCACGGCCCCTGCCCTTCTGCGGGTCCCTACACATAGATGGGAAGGTTATGAACGGTTGGTTCTCTGGGGCCTTAAAGACCGTGAGGCGTCCAGGTGAGGCAGGGGTAGGCATGGGAAATGTGAGTGGCCACCTTGGGACCATCACCAGTCTGGTATAAACTGACAAACACATTTTGACCTTTTTATCCCAATCTCCCTTTGGGACTTGGATCAGCCCTCTGTGTTCCAGGATTAAAAAGGAATATAACCAGGTGTGGTGGCACTCACATGTAGTCCCCACTCCTCAGGAGACTGAGGCAGGAGAATCGCCTGAACCCTGGAGTTCAAATCCAGCCTGGGCAACGTAGTGAAACCCTGTCTCAAAATAAATAAAATAGATGAGATGGATGGGTAGATGGGTGGTACTGTTCCTCACATAGAAAGCCAGGTTGAGGAGAGCAGGCTTCACCAGCACGTGATGGTTTGATTAAGGGCTGTATTAGTTTGCTTTTGCTACATAACAAACCACCCAAAACTTCGTGGCTTAAAATAATAGTGACCATTTGTCACTGCTTAGGACACAGAGTAGCAGGATGGTTGTGCTACTCTGGCCCAGACTTGGCCAGTTTTGGTTGAACTCACTGACATCCGTGGGACCTGAGCTGGGACAATGGGCCTGATTTGGCTGTGACCCATGTAGTCTGTCACCTCCATCAGGCTGGCCTGGGCTTGTTCACATGACAGCTGGCGGGCTTCCAAAAAAAACAAATGGAAGCGTGCAAGGCCCCTTAGGGCCTAAGCTCAGAAGTGCTGTGATGCCTGTTCCATTGCATTTGCTCAGTTAAATTACAAGGCCAGCCCAGATTCAGGGAGCACAGAAGTTGCTTCTGCCTCTTTATAATAGTTGCTGCTAAGTCATGTTGCACGGGCCGTGGGTCCAGGAAGGGAATGGGCTGCAGCCATTTGTGTAAACAGTTTACTGCTTTAAGCCTAGGGGCTGACACTGAAGAGGGAGTCTTTCACTGGCATCTGTGCATGTCCAGGAACCGAAATGGCCACATTCTCCCTTTTGTCTGTTAAAATGAAACTTAGCACAGGGGAAAGAACTCTAGAACAATTTCGCTTCAGCGTCTTTCCTTTGGGACTGGATTTTCCTTGCCTCGTATTTTGTAACTGTGAGGATTAAGTAAAATTATATGAAGCGGCTAGGTACGTAGTAAGCTTAGAAAGCTTATTACTGTTCTTGCTCTCATTGTCTTAGTAATAAGAGTTCTGGATTCTCGTCTTGTTCTGCTTCTAACTTTACACATGAGAGCTAACCTGTTTGGCCTTTATCCCCCCTCTATAAATGATGAGTTTGGACCGCGCGATTTTTGATTTTTTGTTTTTTTGTGGGTTTTTTTTGTTTTTTTTGAGACGGAGTCTCCCTCTGTTGCCCAGGCTAGAGTGCAGTGGCACGATCTCGGCTCACTGCAAGCTCCGCCTTCCGGGTTCACACCATTCTCCTGCCTCAGCCTCCCGAGTAGCTGGGACTACAGGCGCCCGCCACCACGCCTAGCTAATTTTTTGTATTTTCGGTAGATACGGGGTTTCACCGTGTTAGCCACTATGGTCTCGATCTCCTGACCTCGTGATCTGCCCGCCTCGGCCTCCCAAAGTGCTGGGATTACAGGCATTGAGCCACCATGCCCGGCCGGACGGGGCGATTTTTAAAGACTTATCCAAACTCAGGTTCCCAGTTTGGTTTTGTCTGGTTTCCATCTGTGCCCAGGGTGGGCAGTCCAATGCCTAGTGACTTCCAGTGCCCAGGACCAAGACGGTCCTGCCTGTCGTGAGGACCTTGGAGTGCATTCTCCCACTGGATACTGAGGCCTCACTCCTTAGAGCCCCCAGCAGCCCTACTCATGCTGGGAAGACAGGCTCCCCTCACCCTGCCCTGGCCACACAGAAGCCCATGGTTTCCTCAGAGGCACCTCTGGCAAGCTCCTTTCACAAATCTTGCGAAACTTGGCCTGTAGACAATCCGAGCTCTTGACCGAGCTAGGTTTTTGTTTTTGTTTTCTTTCCCCTTAGAGTTTCTACAATATCCCTTTTGAGCAGTTAGGGTTAGAGGACTATGAATGAACTGGACTGTTTGCTACAAAATTACATTTGAGGGCATTTTAATTAAGTTTGGTTATGAGTACGTCATAGTTTTTATCCCTGGGACACACAAGAGCCTTAAGACATCTTGTGTCTAAAACACTGCATTCTTAGCAACAAGTCCACCAAGGACCCCGAGGGAAGGACCTTATAAGATGCCTTATGTCATTAAAACGAGAATACCTCAGGAACCATTAGTAATGGCCACGTTTGAACATTCAACAATTCCAGGTACACTAGAAACCCTCAGAAAAGTGATTTAGACAGTTGCCAGCATGTTCCTTCATATATCCGTTGGTTAAATTCTAAGAATGAACCAGACATAGTTGATTAACTATCGAAGCGCACTTTTAATGCTGAATTTCTTTCCGTTCATTGCTCCTGGGCCTGTGTCGTTTGTTGCCAGCTAGAAAACTCTGAAGGGGTGTCCCTTGGAACACAGCAGATTGTCAAATCTGAAGACAGCCTCACATGGTTCCTTGACACAGTGGACGATTACTTTCTACTAAAAGATCTAACCATTGAGGCCGGGCGCGGTGGCTCAAAGCCTGTAATCCCAGCACCTTTTGGGAGGCCGAGGGGCGGGTGGATCACGAGGTCCAGGAGATCGAGACTATCCTGGCTAACATGGTTAAACCCCTGGTCTCTACTGAAAAATACAAAAAACTAGCCGGGCATGGTGGCGGGCGCCTGTAGTCTCAGGTACTTGGGAGGCTGAGGCGGGAGAAATGGCGTGAACCGGAAGGCGGAGCTTGCAGTGAGCCGAGATCATGCCCACTGCACTCCAGCCTGGGAAAAGACACCAGGCTGAGACCTCCGTCTAAAAAAAAAAAAAGATTCTAAACCATTGAAAACCCTCTGCCAAGGGAATTTGCAGGGCACTAAACCTGTTATGGAAAATTTTAAATTGAAGTGATGCTGAGAAGTATTCTCATCACATCCTTCCCCTTGATCCTAGGGATGGGTTTTAATTCAGCAAGCTCAGGCATCAGCTTTTCCCGGGACAGGTCGCAAAAGACATCCAGTTGAGGAAGATGGCCCCAGCCAAAGCAGGGCCTAAGGTAGCAGGCAGAGAAGATACGGCACGAAGGCCTGCTGCAGAACCAAAAACATCTGCACACAGTTTTAATTAATATTTGGGTCTGAGTACATCATGGTTTTTGTTTTTTGTTTTTTGTTTTTGTTTTGTTTGTTTTGTTTTTGGAGATGGAGTCTTGCTCTGTTGCCCAGACTGGAAGTTCAGTAGCATGATCCTCGACAACTGCAACCGTCCGCCTCCTGGGTTCGAAGCATTCTCCTGGCCTCAGCTCCAGGGTAGCTGGGATAAGCTGCCCCGCCACC